AGTCGGCAGTCTCCCTCTGAAGTCACTTCAAAGATAACTCTCTTGGCCAGGGATGAGTGGACGGCCGCTGAACAGGCATGTGAGTGGACATGAGGTGGGGGAGGATACATGTAAGTTTGTTTTCTTCACTGAAAAAGAGAAAAGGAGATTTCCTTTTACAGGGAGTGTGTGCAGTACTATACATTTCATTTTCTGAGGCTGAAACCGTACTGTGAGGACTCCGGCTGCTCGGCACTGCACTTATGTGGTTTGGGGTCCCAATAACTGTGTGCATGCGTTCATGCGTATGTGTTATATACAGGATTTGAATGACAGAAGGATTCAGTGCAGTAATCAAAGCAAAAACACTTGAAAAACCCATCAGGACAGCCTCCATTTCCTCCATTTCCTTCACTACAAAGATGTTTTTGAGGCTTGATGGGAAACCGGATGAGAGTTTCTCCACAAGGGTGACACGCGTGTGCTGAAAGGAGTTGACGGTGATAATGAAGCCGTTGCACAGAATGGTGGAAACACAGGCAAGGCAGAAGAAGAGCTGCAGGTCTGACAGTTGTAGGCCTGTGTGGGAGGACTCCTGTGGTGTTTTTATGAAGAGTGGGTGAGAAAGCAACAGTGTTGTGTGTGGAGTCATAGAGGAGGGCAAAGACACAGAGAGTGAAAATCTGGTTGGCTTGTTTAAAAGCAGCAGTGTGAACAATTCCGCTGAGATGAAAAGGTTGCACAAAAGAAAGGGCACTTGCAGTGCTTTCAAATAATTGAAATCATATAAAAAGATGCTCCTGTGGAAATAACAATCAATAATTGCTGCCTGTCTCTCATTGGATGCCATCTCCACCAGCAGCTAGCGACAATAGTCTTTGTTCTCCTCTGCAGCCGGGGTCAGCTCTGAGGAACCCCTCGTGAAGTCGTTCAGCAGTTGCAATCCAAGCTGGTGCAGGTGGAGCACATCAAGTCAGAGGATGAGAGAAACTACAGAGAAGGGCCAAGGTTAGCTACATAGGAGCAACTGAACCTTCAAAATAAAAGCAAGAGGCAGTATCCACTAGTAGACCAATCATGCAGGTTTTCATTCTCAGAAAATGGAGGGGGGGGGTTAATGCGAGGTTAAATATACCTGGAAAAGTATAATCAATAATTTTCTGGCACTAAATGAAAGGTTTGAAGAAAAGGTTCAGCAGTTTCTCGCGTCTACAGATTAAAGAGCATCGCTGCATTTAGAGTGAGAGCATAAAATCGTGTCGTGGCTTTAGCACCGATAGGACTGTTTGAATGTGCGTGCATCTGTGCATGTGTGCATGCATGTGTCAAGTCCGACAGTGTAAACACAGCAGAGCTCTGAGCTCTGTCTCTGGCTGTGAACGCTGCACTTGCTGGGTAATGTGCTGAGCTAGCACTTGGTGTCCAAGCCTGCTCTAATCCACAGATTGACTCTTTGGCCAACTGACATGCCCCCCTCTTCCCATTGTCACACACACACACACACACACACACACACACACACACACACACAAAAAATTCAAATCATACTCATTCCAAACACCAAAATCCCCCAACAGGGGCCTCTGCCAGTGATTCACAGGTCACAGCATCAAATGAGCCCCTCTTTCCTTCCTGAGAAGAGTTCCATTTGCTAGCCGGGGTTCAATTTTTAATAGCCATTCCAGTATATATGTGGTTTTCCACTAATCATTATATGTAGAGGTCCTCCCTACAGGCCTCTGAGTTGGCATTATTACCAGTGTTCATTAGTCAATTCAACAGTTAATCAACTGAAATATTTTAATGATCATGGCTCCTGAGTACCCACAGCATTTTAAACTGGTAGCCTTCAAGCCATTGGCTGGCTAAAGAACTAGGGTTTGATGGTTAAGAAAATAGTAACCCTTCTTCAGTACCAGTTTCACAGCTCTCCTGACAAAGTTCAAAGATTGGACTCTGGCAGCGTGAGGAATTTTTCAGTACTATATTACATCTGTCAGGTGAAAAACAGTACACCAAGTTGTGAAACTCGCTAAATATTTGCGGAATGGCAACTGAAGCCAAGACGAGATAAGACAGAACGTCAGGGCCAAAGTCTGGCCCTGAGGGGAACAGAATGACATCCGGCCAGTGCTGTGTTCATGGTGCATACATTACTACTCAAAACAAAATTTAACAGAATAACATATCTATACCAAAGTATGCAAATCTGAAAAAACAAACAAACAAAAAAAAAACCCTGAAGCAAAACCAAGTGATCCACTTTCCATGTTTCCAGCCGATAGAAGCGGCAGACCCTACTTAGCTCAAATCAAAATAGCTGAACCCACCGTTGTAGGTAATCCAGAGTATAGGCAGAATATACTCAGATATGCGGACGACATAAAATGGCTGTCTAAAGTCTGAAAACTCTCAGCAGAAGTTTTACATATTTTTATTTCTGCTTGTATGCAACGAGATCACATCCAATCCAGTGGAGTCAGTTTCTTTGCGCTACACGAGTTGCCTGGAGAAAAACACCTGATCTTCACCCTTCTGTGCAACACCCCCAATTCATCAAACTGTACACGCAGATCATATTTTACCCATGCCCCATTTAATTCTGCCGCTGCACACATCAGAGCACCTGAATAAATTACACATGTAGCCAGTGCCAGCTAATTTTGTCATCTGTACAAACATTCATTTGAGCTGTGTAACGCACCAAACAAGCACAGCACTCTCTCGAACAGACTTCAAGGCAGTGCCTCATGCCAGATCAGTATTAGCAGCTCAGTTCTGTCCATGTCTGTGAATGTGAACTCACACTGAAGGGATAAGTGGTGTAATAAGAGGAGATTATTCCATGTGGGCAAGCTGTAACTCACTTTATGGGCTTTGACTGGATGAGGAGAGCAGGCGCTGGGGTCCAGCTCTGTAATATCCAGTTATAAACTGACGCAGCATGAAGGGCTCCACTAACCTCCCCCACACTGGCACCAGAGCCTCTATGATGTTAACATTTGGGATTTGGGGCAAAAATTGGGCTTGTAAAATTTCAGATCTCCGAGTGAGAGTTTGCCAGACTCCGTAAATTCACCTCTTTGTTTTCTACATCACTCCAGTGGTCGGCCATTAAAGTGAGCTGCCATATTAGGAGGCTTCAAACAAAGACACACATGTAAAAGACACTTATTTCTGGGCAAGACTCAGTCTGGCAATTAAATCTCTGATTACCAGTCATACTAGTCAACACAGATTTGAAAACAGCTGGACTCCCCCCCCCCATCCAAGAAAATAACACTATCCATGGTTTTATTGCACAATAAATCAATGCTCTTATTTTGAAAGTTTAGTTCAGTAAACATAGGCCCTTCCCGTTGCACATTGCCATACTGGCAGGCTAACCAGTGGTGGTTCTAGATATCATTCAGCGTCTGCGCCAGCCAATGAAATCTCTAGTTATTAGTGAAATAAAGAGTTTAATGTAAACTAGACAGACTAAGCAAAAATCATACTCTCACTAGGTAGGCCAAAAATTTGTTGACAATATCGGCGATTCTCTGAATATCATTTGGATTTAGGGCTGTTCGATATAACGATATATATCAGATGATATATCGTTTCATTTTACGCTATCGTTTGTTTCGTGGTGTCACAAAATAAACTGTTTACGGCAATATTTTTTCATCATTTTGATGGTCACTGTAGTGGCTATATTAATTTCTCTCTCTTTCTCTTATATTTAATATAACCACACTACAGACGGACAAGCGCCTGTTTTTATGCGTTGTCGTTAGCAACAACGACGGTAAAGGCTTTTCCCCACAGCATGCCGTGTAATAAATACTCACAAAGAAAACAGTGGCCATTAAACTTATGTCTAAAAATGTATAGTTTCATGCATCAGTTAAAACACTCGACTCCAGGTACATGACGCCCAGCTGGAAACACTTCACGCAAGTCAAGCTGCCCGAGATTCACAGAATTTACAGAAAATGTTAAATTTTTGTGATTTATATCGTTATCGGGAAGATAGATGTCTTATATCAGGATATGAGATTTTGGTCATATCGCATAGCCCTATTTGGATTCATTTTCTATCCTCCTCTTCTCCAATGAAGAAGATGTTAAATGTTTAGAAACCTTGTAGGACAGCCACCCTGGACCCTACGGGACAACAAACCCCTGAAGCATTCCAGAGGCGGTGGGAGAGCGGAGAGTTTTTTAGGGCGATGGGGGTGGAGGGATGTTAAATTGGTGACTTGGAAGGCAGAGGCTTTCCAGAAGCGAAGCGGACAACCTGTGGTTGGGGTTGAATTCTTTCCCTCTCTGGCTCCTTTTAGAAAAGAGGAGAAAACAGCAAACACAGACCCCTCCATTCACAGTAATTTATCCCTATGACCAGGCCTTCTTTACCGGCAGCAATAGCCCCCTTCCGGGGCTGCCCAGCAGGATGCCTGCGAGTGGCGTGTGAAACTCTCCTGTCTCCTTCAGCTCAAAAGGGAAGGATGAACAATGGCCCTCGCCAGGCACTGGCTCTGAACAATCCCTCACTCTGCTTCACTCTCTGCTTTACTTTCTCTGTCTCTAAAAGCAACCACAAGCTATTCCTCTCAGAGCACACATTCCTTTATCCATCCAATATACTGTCCATCAGAGGCTGGTTCCTGTTACCTGAAAGTCCTCGCCTGCATTTATCCCATCCACTTGTCTTTGCCTCAAACTTTATCATTGCTCTTGTTGGTTAACACACAGAGACACACTGTGTATCAACATGAAAGGCAGCAAGAAGCTCCCCACATTTTTCGGGGTTCTCAGGACCTCATGTGACCCTCCCACTAACCCAATCATCAAAACGTGGGCAGCTCACCATCGCTGTGCCTTAGCCCAACCATCTTTCCACCTTTGAATAAAGCCCTGCTGGATCTTTCCAGCCTGAAGGCGTTTGGATCTGACTCAGAGAGCGAGTGAACAAAGCAATTATTGGTTTGATCAGAAGCATATTTGCCTGAGACGAAATTACGACTGATTTTGATTTACTGTACCCCATGTGAGATTTCCACAACACATGGAACCCAACAGTGAAAACAAAGAAAATGAGTGTGGACAGTGAGGCAGCTTTGTGCCATTACAATAAACGCCACAGCAAGTCTTTCTCCCCAAGGCCGAGGATGTTAGCGAGTAAGCTGGGCCTCTGCGAAACATGTGGCTCATCACTTCATAGGGCGACTGTCCAACTGGCTCCAGGCTGAGAAACAGGCAAACTGCATGTCAGTCTGATCAATCAAAAAGAAAAAGAAGTGTTTCTGAACCCCTCTGTGGGAGCCAGCAGTTGGGGGAAAGAAATGTGGACAGTTTCCCGACAGAAAAGCGCCTCAGAAACAATCTGCACAACTATTGCGGGAAGCCATTTTCTCCCCAGCACTCAACCATTCACCAGCGGCTCCTACAGAGCTATTGAGCATTCACCAGGCACCTCCACATCCCCGACAAGCGCAACAAAAAGCATTTTAAAGTAACACTCCCCGCAGTTCCCACACTATTTCACCTGTCAAATGCTTACAAAACAGTCGAGGAAGGCCAAATTCTCCTCAGGGGCACTACAGCGCACCTCTTGCCAACCTCAGCCCCACTAAAGATGTTGTTACTTCTCCTAAAGAAAGAATACACAATAAATCTTTCCCACCTACTATCACGAACAACTATTCTGAGCCTCAAGGCCCAGACGGGACCTTGCACCTTGACAAGCATCACCTAAAGTAGAACAGGAAACCTAAAGAAAGCATTTCCTCATGGAGCCAGACTGTCAGCGCTCAGAGAAAAAAAAAAAAGGATGAGTCATCTTGGGAATGATGCTCAGGAAATCAATAGAAACCAATTGTCTGTTTGAGGAAGGAGACAACAGAAAAAGGCAAAGAGAGGGCAGTGCTAGAAATTTGTTGTTGTGTTGTAGGAAATTAGAGGCATCTGCAGAGTCAGAACCTTGACCAGCTGACTGATCTTAAACTAGAAAGATATCAGGGTCTGACAGAGAGAGTAAGAGCAACTGTTGGCATCGATCATTTACTCGAGCCTTCATTCGGAATTCATAAGAACACAGCTCTGCAGGCGAAGGGTGGCGATGATACAGTCAGCTTCCAATTCAAAGGCGGTGTTGCCCTGCACAGATTACTCCTATGGGCATGAAAAGGGATCATCAGAGAGAGAAAACTATGGTTATGGAGTTTTAACTTCTTAACTCAAACGCATTGTTCAACTTTTCAATGCAAATAGTCAAATGCACATATTGGAACCCTAATGTCTAAGAAATCATCTGAGGCAGCTGTATGTTATGTTATTTGTTTACCTCACTGGTCACAGCTTCTCAGTAAATGTGCAGCCCTCAATTTAACACTGATAGCAAAACTCCCACTGATGATACTTTTTTTTTTCCAATTTTCCACTGTGTGTGTAGGATGGAGAGGTACAGCTTCACTTAAGCTAATTATAGACATCTCTAACTGGTTTTGTTGCTATGCTGTGCATGTTCCATTTTCTGCGTAGCAGGGATGCGAAAGCACTTGATGTCTATAAACTAGAATTTGTTTTCTTTGAATGCAAATAATAGTAATGAAAAAAAACAGTAGATGCAGAGGTTATTTAATAATAAGGTTTAATAATGTTGTTTTGAAACAAGGTATTCAGCGTCTGTCCTAATTCATGCCACCAGAGCATTCTACAGCACGACAGTTCGGATTAACTCCGGGAGGGAAAGTTGAACATGACAGAAAGCTTTTCACGCGTCTGGAAGGAGAAATGACAGCAGCCCACTCCGCTGCCCTAATAAACCTCCCGTTTAAAGAGACGACACAAATATTTGCTTTGTCAGTCTGCGGCGCTTAACCTGCCACAGCCTTCACATCACACTGCAGTGAAGATGCGAGTTATGGATCCCCTGAGGTTGGAGAATAATTACGCACCTGCACGATAACAACTGTCAATAGAGCATCAACCCCCATCAGAAAGCGAAAGAACAATGCCCATCAGAGTCCTGGTTTGTAGATGCCGCAGTCATCAAATTAGAACCTGATCCTATTTTTCGATTTTAGCTCCCCACCTTGATCAACAATAAAAGCTAAAACAATGAAGGGTTTTCGTGTCCCAAGCCGTTCTCCGTCATTTAATATCTGCCTTGGAAGCTGTGGTCCTATTTTAGACTCTCATAAAAGCAAAATTTGGATGTAACTCAATAAATGTTAATTTGGCCCGGGGCATTTCAGAAAATGAAGACATCAATCTTCATGCAGCAGCCCCCCCACACACACACACACACACCACCCCCAAAGACCCAAAAACAGCAGCAGTATAATGAAAGCGAGAGAGAGGAAATAACACAAGAGGAGAGTTTTATCAACATCACTCTTGTTTTAAAAGTCCAGGCCCTCTGTACACTTTTATTAAATCCATCTTTCAGGATGACAGGAAAAGCGGAAATGTCATAACGGGCCAAATCGCTAAACACAGATCCAATGAGGCAAAAAAGGAAACATTTACAAAATGTTTTAAACAGAGAAATAGTTTTGGCAAATCTATTTGGAGTAGGAAATCAAGACAACAAGACAAATATAGCTAAAGCTTTTTTTACCTGATATAACCCAAGTGATAAAGACCTACTTTATGTAACTGGATCTAAAGCTGGGTGGTTGTGGCTCTTTACAGAGGGTTTGTGGTTTGATCCCTGGCTGTATCCTTGAGCAAGATACTGAACCCTGATTGGCTCTGCAATGTATTCATCAGTGCGAATGTTAAACATGTTAATATGTAGAAAAAAAGTGCCATGTCCCCACATCAATGACAGAGTGACACAAAGTGTTTACATTCCCTAACACTGACACAAGCCCAAACACGCCTGAGAGCAAAAGCCACGTGCAAACCTCCGCTGACAATTTAGTGCCTAAAGATGGAGATACTTCAATGACATGGAAGTGATTTGGCAACAAAAGGTAAAAACCCCCAACAGCAGCGCAGCACAATACTTTCCAAAATATCCAAGAAAGCTGTTCCTGCTGAAGATGAAAACAACAAAACTTGTTTCACTCCTCCAGGCACAAAAAACACACTAGAGTAGAACCAGGCTGTGACGGCACGTGAGGAAGGAGGAAATGCCAACGGCTGGTGATGTGGGACCCAAATATAAACAAATGACCTGACCAGACATCACTGGAGCACCTGATAGATGCCCTCTATCTGACAGGAAGAGCAAATAGTGGATGCTAGTTACCAGTTCGGTTACATGGTGGAAAAGGAGCACTCTCAGCAGCTCAAGCCAGGATATAGAATTCCAGGTAAAAAATATTTCACAGTTTTACAATGTGACAACACAGGTCCACCCTAAATCATACCCCACTTTATCATCCTGGTGGACACTAATGCCAAGTGTAAAATACAAAATGAAGAGCATGTTGAACACAAAAACACCTGAAACTGAGGCTATAAAGCCACTAGGAAAGTGTTTACTAAGGTCATAGATTTAGGCAGCAGAGTCCCATACACTTTTATTTAACCAAACTTCATCAAGCAATCAGAGGATCTGCCCCACACTGGTCATAAGAAAGAAAATACAGGTTTAACACATTTTTCACTGGATATATATATAGAAGTAATACTAAAAAATCTGTTAGGTGCTAATGAATTCAGAACACTGATTTGAGTCCCAGCTGATCTTTTGCTATTTTCATGCAAAGCAAAATATTTTCCCATGAGCCCTAGCTGCAAGACGAGAAGTTAAAGGTCAATCTTCCTCATTTTATTTTTACTGTATTTGCACTGTGAGCCCGACAAGTCTGCCTTGCGGTCTTGACATGTCTCACTTTAGATCCATTTGTTTTGGGCTTAGCCATAACAAACACCTGAGAGACAGCCTGCCTTTCGGACAAATGGACTGACGTTGTAATATTTTACTCTTAGTACAGAGTGGATCGTTCTCCCGACACATACATGCCTCAATTATCCGCTCTGCTCTGTACTTGCCACACCTCCATCTCACTGTCCTGAATTTCCTTATTGGTGCCACAGCTCCTTCCCACCAGTCCTCTTCATTCTTCCTCCCTCCTTCTTATACCGTCTCTATGCTCCCTCTGAAGCTCTTCCCACAAGTATGTTATCGGTCCTGACTGATTTCAGACACCCTTGATTAAAAGAACGGCCCTGTCTGGGCCACTTTGACTCACACACACACCATGCAGGCAGAAGACCGGCAGAAGAAAGAGACGCTGCCCAAGGTCTGATCTTAGCGCCGGGCCTGTTTGGGCCTGCCTGCCAGCTTAGATGCCTGCAGGGTGCTGGCCGCCATGCTTGAGAACACACACTCTGAAACACATGCGGCCTCCCCTGTTCCCATCAGTGAGCTGAATGTGGCATAACAATCATTTGTTAAGCGAAACTGTAATAATTGCCTGTTATTGTTGGCTGTTGTTGTTGCAAAGCAGCAAAGTTTTGGGGAAAAGTGATAATGACAGAGCACGCTGCAGAGTATGTTACAAAACACACAGATAAGACACAGATCAGGGTTATAAACTGACTGTGTTACTTTCAAGAATTAAATGTAACCTTTTTTTTTTTCCTCTTTTTTTTTTTGCCACTTCAGATTTTCATTGGCTGGCTGTCATGTTTTTTACTTAAGAACCAATTCTAAACTGAAAAGCTCTTCCTCTGTTTCTGCTGGCAAAAGCTGCAGACAAACAGAGCTTCTGTTGTCTGGAAGTGAGAGACAATGAACGTAACCCCCAGACGTGCCTAAAGAATTCAATCCGTAATGATTAAAGCAGTTTTTGGTAACTCATTGGCTTGATTTTGGTAATAGCACCCTCTGAAGCTGCCTGAAATGTCTTCCATCCATTCATGCACACACACACACACGCACACACATTCAATTTAACATATAAAGCATGTGTTAGCACAGACAATAGCGATTTTCTTTTTACTTTTGCATTTTGTCTACTGCACTTTCCCCCGTCCTCCTGCCTCGTTGTCACAATTCGTACTGCCGTGTCTCTTCCTCGTTCTGCTGCATTTGAAGATTCTCCACACAACGTGAACGCGGCCCACTTTAGAGATGAAATGAAAGGGAGGAAAAAAAACAAGACGATAAGTGCAGAGAGAGTTACAAACCACTGTGCTTTGGAAGAGAGGAATGTGGAGGAGGAACACTGGCAGCAATCGCTACTGATGGAATATTCTAGACTTTGATTAAAGACGGAATCAAAGGAGAAACTCAGACTTTCTCTTTTTGTTCTTCTTCTTCTATTCTACCAGCCTCCGACCTCGCCATCCCTCAGCCCAGATTTTTTTTAAGTCAAAGAAGTGAATGAAGCAGAGGATTGTGGGGAAGCAGGCAAGTTAAGAGATGCAAAAAAAAAAAAAAAAAAAAAGCAATCCTTTCATGACTGCAGTGAGCTGGGAGATCAGATGTGTGCTGAAAGCAAGCATCATGTATTCACTGTATTCACAGCATCTGCGGGTGCTAAACAGAAGGAAGATGATGGTGATGAAGCGGCTGGGGACGTAAACAAATTTGCTTTCTTTCTCTCTTTACAGATGATGCCGTTTGCTTTCTGACTTTTTTATCTTTTCTTTTTTTAAGTAATGAGGCTTTGAGGCAGACAGGTTTCAGCAGGATGCCAGCTTCATTGGTGTTTTTTTTTCCTAAAACAAATAAATAAATAAATGAAATATTCTTTTGTGGATCTCTTTCCTGCCCTTTCTTCAGTGACAGAACAGCATCTGCAGCAGCACATTCTGCTGGAACACGAAACAGCTGAGATTGGGAGCGATGTTTAATGAACAACCTGCTGATCCTCATCGGACCTGCAGGCAGACGAGCCCAGAGTTCTAAACTCTCCTCCTCTCTCTGCTGTCAACAACCTGATGACAAACAGAGTTCCTTTTGTGTAAGGAGAAAAAAATAGAAAAGAAATGCAACAATGAGACTGACCTCCAGACAGGCCAGAGAAATAAAACCTGTAATGATTAAAGGACCTTTTAGTAAATCATTGCCTGCTTTGCACTGCAAAACCCTCTCAAGTCTCCTGAAAGAATGGTAAAAGTGGAGGCGGAGGAACAGATAAAGAGAAGGGCAAGCTTTTCCCTTTTTCTTTTTTTAAGTGCAGCAGCCGGTGAAACGATATGTGCTTGAGGCTCATTAAGACGAGAGGCGCTGGATTCATTTAATCTCCCTGTACCCACAAAAAAAAAGAAAAAAGAAAAACGCTTCACAATCGATCAGCTGTGGCCATCTAGGTCCTGATGGCAAAACAGACAGCCGCTCATGCACGTGCGCATGCACGCAGCTCTCGTTAACTTAACAAAACTGTTGCATCGGTCGTTCTCATTAAGTGAAAGACAGACGGACGTGTGATGCTCATTTAAGCTTTAAGACGAGGATTTAGATACACTCTCCCTCCTTGGTTTCATTTGCCTGGCATCATGCTCCTGCACTTCTGATCCGATTAGGATGTTTGGAGGTGTACAGCGCTGCCGCAATGAGATTTGGATTAGCGGCAGCTGAGGATTCGGGTCGGGAAGCATACATCAGACCTCGGCTGGGAAAAAAAAAAAAAAAAAGGGAACAGAAGTTCACTTTAAATGAGGAAGCAGTTGTGTGCCAACTAATCTCACATCAGATAAAGACATAAGACAAGCTCAGCACTACTAAAATAATGAGATTTGGGAGTGCAGCAAACATTCCTGCAATGGACTCCAAAGGAACAGGAAAAACCACAGAGTCTACACAGCTGCAAACAGACACGTTCTTCTGAACTGTCTGAGAACTAAAGTGAAAACACTGAGCCTGCACAATCTCCCAATCCTAAGGAATCAACACACACACACACACACACACACACACA